CATGTGGTCAGCACTAATGTGGAATCCATTGTGAGGCAGGCACTTGTACTCAAGCCCAGATAGCCGGCGATCCCAAATGTAGGCATATGCCCTGCCAATGCTGCAGATTGGACGAAGTGGCGGGCGAAATGCAAAACTGAGGACCCAACAATATGATGGAAATAACACAAAGAACAACAACAAAAAGAAGACTGGCCTGCCTGCTCCCTAACTCATCCCATGGCCACCTTTTTCAGTCCTCCTTAAGCCATTACTTCTGTTGAGGTCCTTCAAGCAGGGCATAAGAAGGCAGAGCAAGGAAGGTAGGCTGGCAAGATTTACAATGGGCTGACAAATTAACTATGAAGAGAAGGAGAGGGGGAAAATGCCCCAGCCTTGTCCTACTTGCTCTGTCTTCTTTGGAGTCTGTTTTAGCTAAAACTAGAAACAACCAAAATGTTCTTCCTTTTAGTTCTACTGAATTGTAATGCAACGAGAATTGTTTGGCAAAATTCAAGAATGGGTTCGTTTGATATTTGAAATACTGTCTTCCATGTTGCTCATTCCCCTATTGCTTGATTAAGAAGAAACTCATTATTTTAACTCTGGAACAGATTAGGATAACTCAAGGGTGCCTCAAAGATTAACCAAAGAGGAAACAAACAATCAAAATAACAATGGGGATATGGCAGAAAAGAAGAGGTTGCTAAAATATGTTTGACCTGTGGTATGCTGCAAATAAGAAAAGATCTGGAGTTGGCTGGTTTGCCACAAGCAGCTTTGTTTTCTAGTGCACTGGTGAAACTACTGTGTTGCGATTATATTTCTGTCACCATTTCTTTTTATGACGATCCAGACAGGATTTATAAACAACACCAGAAAATAACAAATAATGGTTCGATATTACAGAACTGAAAAAGTGCAGAAAAAGAGTAACCAGAACTATGAAAATGTTGAAGCAGTCTTATGCCTACAATACTTGCAAGCGGGAAAAAACAGAACTGCACAAATAATCATTTGATTTGATTTGACATTTGATTTGAGACTGAAAAATCCCAGGCCTAGAATGTACAGAAATTGGACTAATGTCAGTGGTGGGTTTCAAAATTTTTTACTACCGGTTCTGTGGGCATGACTTGGTGGGTGTGGTGTGGCTTGGTGGGCGGGAAGGATACTGCAAAATCTCCATTCCCACCCCACTCCAGGGGAAGGATACTGCAAAATCTCCATTCCCTCCCCACTCCAGGGGAAGGTTACTGCAAAATCCCCATTTCCTTCCGATTAGCTGGGACTCAAAAGGCAGAGAATAGATGGGGGCGGGGCCAGTCAGAATTTTTACTACCGATTCTCCAAACTACTCAAAATTTCCACTACCGGTTCTCCAGAACTGGTCAGAACCTGCTGAAACCAACCTCTGACTAACGTCTAATAATATTATAGATGTTAACGAACAACAACTATTCAAAATAAAGGAGAAGGAAGAAACAGAATATTTTTTAACATGGGACTCGTTTTATCAATGGTTAGTTGACAGAAACAGAAGTTAGAAACTCAAACGTTTAAGAGAATGATTAACTATACAATGAAGGATTATTAGTGTGGATAAGCAAATACTATTATTATTATGTGATTATCTATCTATCTATCTATCTATCTATCTATCTATCTATCTATCTAGCGTTTTTCATGGTTCTACTGCAGCCCCAAACATTCAGTGGGCATTCTAGATACATTCTAGACCAGTGATGGCCAACTATGGCCCCTTTATGACCTTTGGACTTCAACTCCCAGAATTCCTGAGCACAGCTGGTTCAGGAACTCTGGGAATTGAAGTCCACAGATCAACAGGGCCTCCTCAGGGTGCCGTCGGTCAAGCAATGTCGGCTGGCGGCCCCCAGGGGGAGGGCCTTCTCTGTGGGAGCACCAGCCCTCTGGAACGAGCTACCTCCCGGAATACGGCTGATTCCGGATCTCCGCACTTTCCGTAAGGCCCTGAAGACGTTTTTATTTCAGCAAGCCGGCCTGGCCTGAATAGGTTTTAGGGGTTTTTAATTATATTGCTAGGGGTTTTAAATTGGGGTGGCCGTTTAATTTAATTTATTCTTAATTATTTTAACTTTTATATTGCATGTTATTTTAATTCTCGGCTGTTCACCGCCCTGAGTCCCTTCGGGGAGAAGGGCGGGATATTAAATAAATAAATAAATAAATAAATAAATAAATAAATAAATAAATAAATAAATGGGCCATAGCTGCCCACTCTTGTTCTAGATTAGCTGTCTTTGGAGGTTAGTCATAAGCAGAGTTCCAACAGGTTGACAAGTCTTGCTACTGGACCATTTATCTTGCCCAATTTATTTATTTATTTATATTTATTTATTTCGTCAAGCATGTATTCGATAACAGATACAAGTATAAACATGATTACAAATACATGAAATGGATACGAATAAAAGGGAACATTAGGGCAGGGATGGTAGGCACGCTGGTACGCTTAAGCATGCCCCCCCTTTTTTAATTAATTATTTTTTCTTGCTGGGTAGTTGTTTCATCTGTGGCTGCAACGAAGGCCAGCCACCTGTCTTGTGCAGTTACTTTCTTCTTCTTTTTTTGAAGAAGGAAACATCAATCGCATATATGGCCAGATGCTGCTTGAAAGTCAATATTCCCAGTGGTAAGGAAAATAAAGCTACCTGTTTCTCTGATCCTCTGCATTAATTAGGCTTCTGTTCTAGGCTTTCCTTGAATGTAGAAAGCAATGGCTGTTCGGTGTGCCTTCACATTTATAATATTTCACTCAACTTTATTTGACTGAGCCCTTATTTTAAGGCCAACAGTTAATGGAAACAGTAAAACAAACGAGCACCAGCGGATTTGATTTTTGAGCACTATACGGTTTGGAAATCAGCCAAGAGACAGGCAATTCAGGGCCAGTATAAGGAAAGGAAGCAGTAGCAGCAAAACTCTATATAACTTGGCAGCTGCTTTGCAAACTATGCTTGCCTTGGGAATATCATAAATTTCCAGGAGATTAAGAGATCAGCATTCTTGTGGATAAACAAACAAACAAACCAGTGGTGAGTTGCTCCCGGTTTGGACCGGTTCTATAGAACCGGTAGTAAAACCGGCGGGAGGCTCCACCCACTGACCCTGATGTCACCAGAAGAGATTTGCACAATCCCATTGTGAACCGGTAGTAAAGGTAAGTAGAACCCACCCCTGAACAAACAAACAAACAAACAAACAAACAAACAAACAGCTGGAGTTGCCCAAAGTAAAAAAAAAAAGTTGACCAAATAAACAATGAACTTGAGTTGATTAAAAACACACACACACACATTGAATTGATCAGAAAATATTCCAGTTGATTGGCTGATGGAACTCAAGGCGGCCAGTGGATGAACTGGCAGGGAGTAGCCCTGGGAGAATGATTGGTGGTTGATTTTCCTTGCCAGAAGAATTGCTGGATGGAGCAGAATGGAGAATAGAGAACCTATCCGTGAAACTACCTCACCCTACTAGTATGAATGTATGGCTGGCCTAAAGCAGGGTAAAGTTAACCTTAAGCGGCCAATGGGTGACAGGCTAGAGGAAAATATCTAAAATGGCAGTGAGGATGGGCTTCCATCCATGTAGCTCGGCTTGTCAATCCTGCAAGGCTGAATGAAGGTGAGTTCTCAAAGGTCACCTTGGAGTTGAGAGGGTTTTTTTTTTTTTTAAATATTTATTAAATTTCCAAAGATTAAAATATACAGTACAAAAAGAAACATAATACACAAAAAACAAACCACACACAAAAAATATAAACAAACAAAAACAAACATATCAAATTTTCAATACTAGTAACAACTTTTCTGCATCGGTATCTCTAACCTATTTAACCTCTTTAGACAAAATATCTCTATCTTAAACTTACATCCTTGTTTAAATTATCTTAACTTCTATTTACAATTCGATCTCATAACAAAAGTTTTGAGTTTAAGTTTTATGTTTACTCTCCAGCCAGGAATACCATTTATTCCATATTAAACAGTACTTGGAGTCCTCCCTCTCCTTCATTTCCATAGATAATCTGTCCATTTCTGCACATTCATATTTTTTAAATTATAATTTGGTCCGGAGGGATATCTGGTTGTTTCCAATTTTGTGCTATCACAATTCTATTCGCCCTTAGTATGTGTAATATGATATATTGTATATTTTTTTTCCATTTTCCCTTCCAGAATGCCCAGGAGAAATAGTTCCGGTTTTCTTTCTATCTTCTGTCCTGTTATTTCATCCACCCATTTTTTTATCTTAGCCCAAATTTCCTAACCTTAGGGCAGGTCCACCACATGCGTTAGAACGTCCCTTGTTTGTGACCACCTCCAACAATTCAGAGACCTGTTCAAGAACATCCTGGCCAATCTCGCTGGTGGCAGGTGCCATCGGTAGAACACTTTGTAAAGATTTTCTTTATAAGCAGCTGACATCGTTAGCTCATAGTTTCTTGGGGTTGAGAGGGTTTTTGAATCTTGTTCTCCACTGATTGCAATACAATATTGCAGAGAAAAGCAACAAAGATGATTAGGGGGCTGGAGGCTAAAACATACGAGGAATTGTTGCAGGAATTGGGTTTGTCTAGTCTAGCAAAAAGAAGGACTAGGGATGACATAATAGCAGTGTTTCAATATTTGAGATGATTCAAACTATTTTCCAAAGCACCAGAAGGGAAGCCAAGAAACAATGGATGGAAACTAATCAAGGAGAGAGGCAACCTAGAACTAAGGAGAAATTTCCTAACAGTGAGAACAATTAATGGCTCGTGGAATGGCTTGCCTTCAGAAATTGTGGGTACTCCAGCACTGGAGGCTTTTAAGAAGAGGTTAGACAAGAGACTTTGTCTGGAATGGTATAGAGTCGATTATAGAGTCTCCTGCCTGAGCAGAGGGCTAGACTAGAAGACCTTAAAGGCCCCTAGAAACAGAATAGTTAATTTTCTTATATGAGAGCAAGACTGCAATTAAATGAAGGATACTCACCATCACAGTCAAAAAGAGCAAACACAACATCACAGACGTGGTCTGATAGTTCCACCTTTGCCACTGTCTTGGCTACTTGTTGCATCGTATCTGCAAGAACGAAAACAAAATGCCACTCAGATGTCAACATTTGGTGGGAAATGAAAGACTTAACATAAACACACTCAATCACCTCTGATCATTTTTTCCCCCTGATGAGCAAAGTCATTATAGTCTACCGATCGATCCCCAATTTCAACATGAAGCAACCAGCCCTTTTCAAGCTAAATGCCCTTGCTAAATGGAAGGATGAAAAGTGCTGAAGCCAACATGTCATTTTTCATCTAACTGCGCTGCTAAAGCCAATCAGATCAGGTGCCGCCGTTTGTTCTTCTGATGGGTGTTTGATTGCAATTCATTTGACCCAGTAGTAGAGAACTTGGGAGGGAGGAAGGGAGGGAGAAGGAGAAGGAGAGGGAGGGAGGGGGAGAGAGAGAGAGGGAGGGTGGGTAGACTTTAAAAATGCTAGGTTAAATATAGAAAGCCTGCATGGCATAGCTGCAGCCTAGCTCCAGATGGCTAGGTCCTAAGAGCACAGTACTGGTGTGAACAGCCTTTATCGGTGTCATTTGGATCAACGGGAGTACGTCTGTGCTTCTTGCATAAGTGCAGCTTTTTGAGTATTGGTTACCCAGGAAATGATCCTGGTGGATTCTGTCATATGTTAAACACATACAAATCCTCCTAGGACTCTTTAATTCGTGATTTCCATAGATGAAACAAGGTAGGCAAGAAATGGCTATAAGCCATAATTTGTACCAAGATCTGAAAACTGATGAGAGTCACCTTTGCAACCTAGGAACACAGAATTTTTCTCTACAGCACAGAGCCTGGAATCCATTAAATGCGTCATGAAAGAAAACTCCGAGGCTTGAGTTTCCTCAAAGTTACATTTTATTAGAGATGTCATATTGGCACATCTGGGAAAACCCGAATCTGAAAGCTTCCAGGTTTTCCCCACCCGAAGGAAAGTTCAAGACCCTGTCCAACACCCACATGTCCATCACATGGCCCAATCCAAACACTGTGCCGACTGGAGATGCCTCCCAGTTCCAACCCTCCAGGTGCAGGGCAAGATGTCCTTGACTCTCAGAGAAAGGAATGTTATTATGACTATATTTCACCCATGCTCCATACAATCCCCCCTCCTAGTTTCCTACAGTAGTAAATGTGGCAGGCCTGAAGATGTAATGAAAAAGATGGCTTCCAGGCCTGACAGAGAAACTTTGCTGGTCTTCCCCTCCCCCTCACCCACTTTCTTATTGCAGGGATGAGGGAATCAATCAACAGCATTCAGGAATAATAACCTAAACCAGGGATCAAACTCGCGGCCCGTGGGCCAGATGCGTCACACACACTGGCCATGCCCACCCCCGGTTTAGCAAAGGGAGAAAAAGTCGTGATACATCATGTGACAATGTGATGTGGCGAGTTTGACAAACCTGACAGTGGTGGGTTCAAACCGATGTTACCACCGGTTCTGTTTGTGCATGTGCTTTGCGCATGATTGCTGCATGCATGCTCGCTTTGCTTGTACTCGCACCAAACTTGCGCTCTGCACAAGCGCATTAGGGTTCTGCCTAGCTGAGGTGCGGCAATCCACTCTGCCGCGCCTATCAGCTGGGCTAAAAAATGAGAAATAAAGGTAAGTTTAACGTGGGGGTGGGAGGGCCCAGCTCCCAGTCAAAGAGAACCGGTTCGGTGATGTCACATCATCACCACTACTGGCTCGCCCGAACCGGCCCGAACCAGGAGCAGCCCACCACTGAACCCTGACCTAAACAGATAACAGAATCACAGAGTTGGAATGGACCCTGGAGGTCTACTAGTCCAACCCCATGCTCAAGCAGGAGATCTTACACCGGGGATGTCTAACCTTGGAACTCCCAAGATCTGTGGACTTCAACTCCCAGAATTCCTCAGCCAGCCATGCTGGCTAGGAAATTCTGGAAGCTGAAGTTCACAAGTCCCAAGGTTCCCAAGAATGAAAATCCATACCCTATACCAGGGATATTAAACTCATGGCCCGCAGGCCGGATGCATCACATGCTCACCCCTAGTTTAGCGAAGGGGAAAAAAAGTTGTCATGTGACGCTGCAAGTTTGACACCCCTGCCCTATACCATCCAGACGAGTGGCTGCCCAATCTCTTCTTGAAGAGATTAAAAATAGATCCTGCCTTTGGAAACAGGATTTATTCGGAGGCCTTTATTCAAGATTTCTGGCAGTGGGAGCAAAGGCCCAGCGCCTGCCCCGATCAGCTGTGCGCTCACTTGAATAGATGGCCTCTCCAACCCTATGCTGTGGAAGCTTCCTAGTTATTTCATTCCCTCCTCCCTGTTCTTTTTTTTTATTATTATATTTTTAATTATTTTTGAAAAATATATACCCATATTGTATGTGGACTGAGTTGGTTCTGGGTATTATTCTTATTAATCCAATTCACCCTAACAATGTTAGTAATCTCTATCACATTTATCAAATTTAAGTAATCCTCATTATATTATTTAAACATACATAAAACAAAATGCCTAACATCTGTAAACTTCTAATTTTTCTATCTATTATTTTTATTCATTCTAATAAAAAATTTATATTCTAATATTTCACCTATCTAATTTTATTTCTGCCTCTTTCAGTTTACAATCAGGCTACTTTAATATTTAAAGGGCAATTTTTTCTAACCATCATCTCTTCTCCTCTTTAGTGCTTCAATTCTTATCCACTTTTTAATTCGCCTCCCACACTCCTCGTCTTTGTCTCTATCTTCATCTATATAACCCTCCTCCCTGTTCTGAGGGATATGAAGCAAGCAGAATGGGCAAAAGCATAAAACTTTGGCTGAATCTCAAAGGCTCGGTTGAAGAATAAGGATCCATGGTTTCTTCTTTTAAAAGTGTGGAGCACGTCCCATTTCCATATTAGGATCCTAAAGTGGGATTCCAGCATTTGAGATCCTGGCCTATGAAATGAAATGGTAAAATCATCAAAACAGAGGGGCTAAGAGGTAGCAGAACACTTCCCAGAGCACAAAAACCCAAAGATAAAAGAAAGAATAGATGTGTGAGATTTAAGGCAAGTCATTATGCATTCATAATGATTAATCAAATTCATAATTCATAATCATTAATCAAATTAACTATTTGAATACAACTAGAATTCTAAGGTTTGCTACTTTTTAAAACAATATAATATGAATTCTGGATATAAATTTTGTAATTAAACAAAACGAATAAATAAGTTTGCCCCTCAAATAACTACATTTCTGATTTGACTACATATAAGTGTTTTGTTTTGGTTTTTTTTTGCCTCACAGAAGTATGTAACTTTGGATTATTTTCCTCAGTAAATAACTGAACAAGTAGAATGTTTTTGACTCATTTGTTTAACTAGGTGCTTTTTATTTATAGTTTTAGGACTTGTGTGGAGAACCAATAATATTTTAGGTCACATTTATGCAAAAATATTGAAATGTCAAAAGTGTACACAATCTTTTCAGCACCACAATGTATAGCAAATTAATTTTTGAAAGGTATAGCAAGCTCAGCAGTAAGTTAATTTATTGCAGGAAGTTAATAGGTGGTGAATGAAATAATCAATCAACTACGGATGGTATTTTCTTTTTCCTCTGATAGCAACACCACAATAGAAAATCTTAGAAGTGCTTACTCAGGATTTTTCCTTCCACTTATATTCTCTTTTTGCTCTACAGTGGTTTTCTTGATTAGCTGCTCTCATCCATACCTCTGCTGGAAAGGATATTAAGCTAAAGTCTCAATAGGTTTCTTTATAGTAGTTTAATCAGAATTGGGCTGGAAGGGACCTTGGAGGTCTTCTAGTCCAACCCCCTGCTCAAGCAGGAGGCCATATACTATTTCTGACAAGTCCAATGATGAAGCACCCACAACTTCTGAAGGTGTTATAGTTATACTTATGACTATAACTTTGTTGCTTATATCTTTACAATTTATATTGTTTTATTTAGTTTCTTATTTAGTATCCTATGACTATCGTTAAGTATTGTATCTTATGATTTATGATTAATGTATTTTTATGATGACTATGATCATGATTTATCACTTAGAGCTTTTGTGTACCCTGAGAGCTTATGCACCGAAGACAAACCCCTTGTGTGTCCAATCACACTTGTCCAATAAAGAATTCTATCTATCTATTCTTATGGGAAAATGAGTGTATTATTCTTTACATCTCCTTAGCCCCTGTCCCTGGCTTATACTCAGCTCCACATTTAAAAAAAGAAGAAGCACAATTATTCCTTCCCACAACCCATTCTCTTTGCATTGAAAAAAAAAATCCAAAAACCCCTTTTTCTAGAAATGGCTAGTTTATATTATTATGTAAGACATAGTCTAATCCTAGTGGTTTTATTCTGGCATCTATTTTCAATGCTAATGGGTATGTTATTCCCACTTCCTTTGTGCTGCATTTAAATTGTTCAACATCACATTTCTAAAGATTATTGCAAAACTGTAATTGGTAGCTATACATAACATATATAAAAAACTACAAGCACAGAATTTCAAGCTCCGTTTATAACGATGACATACTGTACCTATATACGTGCTACATGCAGTACATACATAAAATTATTCCTTAATATCTAGAATATATATATATATATATATATATATATATATATATATATATATATAATTTGATTTATATATTTATATGCCGCCCTTCTCTGGAGACTTGGGGCGGCTTACAAGGCGTTAAGCAATAGCCTTCATACTTTTTGTATATTTTATACAAAGTCAGTTTATTGACCCCACAATCTGGGTCCTCATTTCACCTACCTTTGAAAGGATGGAAGGCTAAGTCAACCTTGAGCCTGGTGAGATTTGAACTGGCAGTAATTGCAGGCAACTGATGTTAATAACAGTGCTTTAGTCTGCTGCGCTACCAGGGCTCTTTTAAAAAATCAGCCCATTTTTCTGCTACCAATTCCTCCAGGCCACAGATAATCAACCCTTTGCTGGTTCCGATTTGACTTTCTAAAACAGGGGTGTCAAATTCGCAGCCTATGGGCCG